GAGTGGACACAGCACCGAGTAGAGAAGCCCGTGTGACGCCCACCCGTCTCGGGGATGCTCCGAGTCTCACCTGCCCTCAAGTGTCTTCTGAAAATCCTCTGCGCGAGGAGCGCTGACCCGGCCTCCCGCGGGCCTGTGGGAGGCACAGACACCCCCCCACCCCGAGGGGCCACCCCAGGCTTCCTGCGTGAGGCTGTTAGTGTCAACAGGGCCCTGGAGAGCACGCCTGAGGGGAGGGGGCCTCACCCGGTTTGGGGGAGATTTCTCTAGTGCTCACTCTCAGGGGCTCCCACAGGACAGGATGCCCAGGGGGTGGCCAGGGGGACAGAGCCCGCCCAGATGCCTGGGAGGGCCCCTCCCGGCAGGAGCAGCTGCAGAGGGACCCGCATCCCCGCGGCCACGGGCGAGTCCACCACTGCTGGCACCCCCGCCCCTTTTCCGAGTGAGATTAGCTCATCGTGTTTGCTTGCAGACCCCCGGCCCCAGGAGCGAAGAGCCACACACAGGACCGTCTCCAAGGCACTTACAGCCGAAGAGCGTCGGAAGCCTCCTGGAGGGCGAGCAGCCGCAAGGTTAAACAGCCCGCGGCCACAGCGGTCTGCCGGGCCGCACGTCCAGGGGCCACGGGGCGCGAGGAGGGGCGGGCGGGGAAGCGCCTGCCGCCCGCAGGTCCGGCGGTGGGCGTCCTGCGGCGTCCGCTCACGCGCGGAGGACAGAGCCCAGTCCTGCGGGGCATGTCATCTGGCCTGTGCGGTCACCAGCTCTGTGACCCTGGGCAAGGGGCGCCTCGTGGAGCCGGTCTCTCGGTTTGTAAGACGGGGGTCACAGCGCGTGCCTCGCTGGGTGGCTGGGAGGACCCCACGCCGGACACAGGGGGATTCGTAAAGGACAGTGACGGTCTTCCATCCAATCCCATGTAACTTTGATAGCAACGCCGGGGAAGCAGTGCCTGTCACCCCGTCTCATCAGAGAGGGAACCGGTGCCAGAGAGGCCCAGGTGCCCGCCCGCCCGCCCAGAGTCACCCGGTGAGTGCCCTCCCACGGGGAAGCTCCGACTCAGCTGCCCCCCCACAGCGACACCCACCGGGCACCAGGCACCGGAGCCCTCCCCGGTCAGCGGGCTCCCACGCCGGGTCCCCACTCGAGTGCCGGCACGATGACAGCGCCCCGTGGGGTCCCGTGCATTTGTTAGAAGCCACGGCTGTGATCCCAGCCCCCGAAACGACACAGGGTTCCACGCGTCCTCGGGTCGCTCTGGGTGTGGGAGCGGCAGGAAACTCGAATGCGGAAGGAGCCTGGAGACACGGGCCTCCGTGGGCGCGGTCCCCTCGGGCCTGTGCTTCTCAGGGTCCCGCCTGCTGAGCCGCCCGCCCACCGGCAGCCTGAGGGAAAAGACAAAAATAATCCCGCCACTCGGTCCTGAACACAGACCCGAGGCCCACAGGGAGGTACAGACATGGGGCGGGGGGGAGGTATGTGTTTGTCCCAGGGGCCCCAGCCCACCTTCCACCAGGTTTTGGAACTTTTTTCTCTTTTTTTAAAAAAAGATTTTATGTATTTATTTTTGGAAAGATGGGAGGTGAGAGAGAAAGAGAGAGAAACATCGATGTGTGGTTGCCTCTCACACGCCCCCTACTGGGGAACCCGGCCTGCAACCCAGGCACGTGCCCTGACTGGGTATCGAACCAGTGACCCTTTGGTTCGCAGGCCTGCACTCAGTCCACTGAGCCACACCAGCCAGGGGGGACTTCTTTCTCTTCCAAGAGGACCAGTTTGTCTGCTTCCCAGGGGATGCTTATGCAGGGAAAGCAGTGCCCCCACCAGATCCGGCTAAAAGGGGGAGTCTGCCAGGCCTGGACCCAGCTGGAGATTGTGCCCCTGTGGGGGTCCCTCAGCTGCTGGCTGGACGCCCGCCCCCTAAGGGGCAGAGGCGGGCTGGCGGGACAGCCGCACGCACCGAAGGCAGCCCAGCTGGGGCTGACGCTGCAGGTTCCGTCCCTGCAGCCACTGGACAGAGGCCGTGTGGCCTCGAGTCCCTCCCCCACCAGGTGGTGTCTGAGCCGTTCCCTGAAGAAGAGACGCGCAGCCCTCGGGGGAGCTGGAAGCAGTCGAGCTGCCTCCCTCAGGACAGAGATGAGACGGGGAGCGCCCAGAGACGCCCAGCCACCCCGCCCAGGACACACAGCCCCGTCCGACACCTCCCAAGGCCGGACCCCCGAAACGACCCCTCATGGGGTGTGGCCCGAGAAAACCAGCCTGGGGAGGCTCCGATCTCTGCTCTGCCTCCTCCGGCCCGCTCGGTCTCTGCTTCGCAAACATCCCGCGGCGTCCAGACCAGGAACACGGTTCAGGGACCTGGTCTACACAGGCAAAGCTGACCCCGGTCCCTGGGGAGTTGAGAGGTCAGACCCGCACACAGAGCCACCTCCAGCAAAAGGGCGGGTCTTGGCGGTTAATCGCTGCACGGTTCCTTACAGCGGTGCTCAAGGAGGGAGGGGCGGAGCCGACCGGTGTGGGCCGGAGGCCCCGGTGCGCCCTCCCTCCCAGAGTCTCCGAGGCTCTGCCGCGTGGGAGCCCCGGTGACCCTCCGGCCAGACGGGCACAGGCCTGAGGCCGCAGCCGGGGTCTGGAGAAAGCCGGTCTGCGGGAGGGGGCTGGGACCTCAGCGGGGCAGCCTGGAGACGCCCCCGCGCCCCCCCCAGGAGAGGAAGAGTCAGAAAGCCGGAGAAAGGCGGGACAGGCGAGGCGGAGAGTCGGGAAGCCAGTGGGCGAGCCCGGCGGGCCGGGCAGCCGTGAGAGCTCATCGACAGGAGACCGGCTACCTAGGGGTCGAGGGAAAGAACTCTCACAGACGCAGGCCACAGCTCGGTGGGGACCGGAGGGGGAGGGGTGCGGACCGGAGGGGGAGGGGTGGGGACTGGATGAGGAGGGGGAGGGTGGGGGGAGGTCAGTGGTGATGGGAGGGGCCCAGACTCGGGCGGTGGACACGCCGCCCGATGCACAGGTGATGCGCCGTACAATCGCACCCCTGAGACCTACGTCATTCTATTAGCCAAGGTCACCTCGGGGAAGTCAGTCACAAAAAGGGAACAGGCAGCAGGGACCACGGCCCGCGCTGAGGAGAGCGCCCCCCTGCCCCAGCGGGTCCCCGGCCCGGCCCCCCCAGAGGAATCACAGCAGCCGCAGAAACCGGCCCTGCTCCGTGGGCGGGCGCCCCCCCCCACCCCCAGCCCCCCGCGCCAGGCGGTCCCGTAGGAGCCAGCCAGGAACTTTTTTTTTTAATTACAGGGAAAGGGTAACTCCCCTATCAATACCACCCTGCTTCAATTAGCACAATTACCACGGGGGTCATTATTTTAAGTGTTCGCGTTTCTACCTAAATGAGGTCACTTTCCATTTGGTAAACACCCCTCAGTCATCATCTTAATTCACGCGCCGTCGCCGGAGGAATGCTGAGTAAGCGATCGCAGCGGGGTCAGCCACCCGCCTCGGACGCGCCGAGGGTATTAATTGCTCTGCTGGCGGGGAAGAGGAGGGGACGCTCGGGCATCGGGCACCGGCCACGTGACAGCTATCGCCCACCAGGTGCCGGGCGCGGCGCTAAGGGAAACAAGCCTTTCATGTCCTCGCCCGCGACCACAGCTGGTGGGACAGGGACGCTTGGAGGAATGAGACCGTTTTCCAGACCGGGTGGCACACGTAACCCCCACGGGGCTCCCGTCCACCCCTCCCCCCGCAGGCAGGCCGGGCAGACACATTCCCGCTGGGAGCACGCAGCATTGGAGAAGCCCCAGGAGGGCAGCAGCAGTGAGACCTTGTTCGTATCATTCACGCTCAGGGTTTTAAAGAAATGCAGTTGCGTTCTGTTTTCAGGAGAGTGGCTTCTCCTTGTTCAAACACCAGCATATGTGCGTGTGTGTGTATGTATGTATACACACACACACACACACACACAGAAGGGCCGGCAGAGGGAACGCCTGCCTGCCTGCCTGCCTGAGGTGGGCCGGGCACGTGAATGTCTCCCCCGAGACGGACAGCGCTGCGAACGTGTCACCTACAGTGCCACATGGCGTGCTGGAGTGGGACATTGCTCTGCTACAGAACTACATGCCTATGACTTTGCAACACAAGATTTTGTGATAACAAGGGGGTGCTACTTGCGCTGGACCCTGTGTCCCTGCGTGTGTGTCTGTGTGTGTGTGTATATATACATATATACATATACACATATATACATATAAAATGCAGACAGCATCACCTGCAAACGAGGAGTGCAGACTCAGAGAAGCACCTTGGCAGGGGACGGCCCCTGCTCACGTCAGAGGGGCTCCCCCTTTTCCCATCTCCTCCGGGCACAACAGAAACTGTGGCGCCCCCACCCCAAGTTCAAGAGCCCTCTGAGGAGGAGGAACCTCGAACAAACCCCTCTGCACGTTGGTACAGCAGGGAGGGGGACTGGGTGCCCTCCCCGGCCGATGGATGAGGGAGTCCGAAGTAACCTAATCCTCCGCCGTGGGGAGCTGCCACACACTCACGCGCACACACACACACACACTCGCACACCCCCGTGCTGCAGACCCCGAATCCCCCAGGGGACAGCCGCTCACCGACACACCGACACCCCCACGCCCCCCGGAGGGAGGCTTCTGAGGCTGCTGACATCACAGAGGTGCCCACGGGCAACCTCGCGGCCAGGCGGCTGTCCCCCGGCTCTCCTTCACGCGCAAACGCGGGGCGAGGGCGAGACCTTCCAGAGCTGCCAAGCAGGCCGGCTGCCAGCGGCGGCCTGGGAGCGCGCGGCGGGGCCCTGGGCCTGGCGTCTCAGCTTCTGCCGGCCCCGCTGTGATGGAAAATCTCTCTGCACCGAGCTAGAGTGTTCCGGTCCTGGCCCGCGCCCCGCCCCCGCCGGCCCCTCCGCAGCCTTCCGATCAGAGGGACGGCGCCACCCGCCTGCTGACCGAAGGTGGAAGGACAGAGAGGTGGCACGGCGCCTTCCCACCATGTCCCCCGCCCCGGGCCCCGGGCCCCGGTGGCTGCTCTTTTCCTTCGGCATGGTGCTGGTGTCGGGGTCCAGGTGCCCCAGCGGCTGCCAGTGCCAAGACCAGGAGGTGGTCTGCACGGGGGCGCAGCTGAAGGAGTACCCCCCGGACATACCCCTGGACACCCGGAGGCTCTACCTGAACGACAACCACATCACCTTCCTGCCGGCCATGAACCTGGGGCTGCTCAGCGACCTGGTCTACCTGGCCTGCCAGAACAACCGGATCGGCGAGGTGATGGACTACACCTTCATCGGGGTCTTCAGGCTCATCTACCTGGACCTCAGCTCCAACAACCTGACCTCGGTGTCCCCACACAGCTTCTCCATGCTCAGCAGCCTGGTGCAGCTGAACCTCTCCCACAACCCGCACCTGTCGTCCCTGGACAAGTACACCTTCGCCAACACCAGCTCCCTGAGGTTCCTGGACCTCAGGGACACCGGCCTGCAGGCCCTGGACCACGCCGCCTTCCAAAACCTCCCCACGCTGCAGACGCTGTACCTGAGCGGGAACCCCTGGAAGTGTAACTGCTCCTTCCTGGACTTCACCATCTACTTAATCGTGACCCACCTGGACTACCCAGGTGAGGGCGCGGCGGGGCCGGGGCAGGGGGCGGGGGGGACATGCGCTGGAGTCAGGGCCGTGGGTTCCAGACAAGGGGGAGTCGAAACACAGGACGGGGTGGGGCGGGCATCTGGGCGAGGCCGACGGAAGGAGAGGGCGCCGACCGCTCTGCGGGCCCGTCCTTGGGGCGGCCGTGGAGGCGGCAGGGCCGGCCGGGAGGTTCTGGAAGAGGAATCCAAGGAGCTGAGGTCTGGTCCCCAACTCAGCACGTGCTCACGGCGGGGCTGCCCTTGGGAGGGTCACCGCTGCTCTGGGCCTCTGTTTCCTGGTCCTCGACGTGGGGACAGTCATGTCACCACACCCACAGAGGTGGCATGTCAACACACAGGGTGAGTCGGGGACCGGCCAAGGCCCGGAGTGGCGAAGGAAGAGAGTGGTACAGGGACACCGTTTCCCACTGGGAAGCACTTTGATCTGCTCAATTCAGACGCGGGGTTCCAGAGTGCAAGCACATCCGGTCACTCACGGGCGGCAGAAAACCCGGTGGTGTGGTGGGGAGCAGGGCAAGTTCCTTAGGCATTGGGGGGTGGGGGCACATGAGCCCCTGGACAGTGAGAGAGGGGAGGGCCAGGGCGGGGAGCAGCTTTCATACCAGCACCCCTCTGTCTTCACAACGCCCACCTCCTCGGGCTGCACCTTGAGAGGACAGCCTGAATGGGGTCTCGCCCCGGAGATCTCCAGGCCAGCGGCTGCTGCTCTGTCCACGCCCCCCCCCCTTCTGCCAGGGCCCCGGGGCGCCCTAGCGCCTCTTCCCTCGTCTCTCAGACGGGCGTAAGGACAGAACCAACCCGCCGAGGTCGGGCACACCGCAGCATTCCGTAAGCAAACGCCCGGCAGGTGTGGAAAGACGGAGCCGGGTGGTCCCGGGGCCGGCACTGGGTGTCGGGAAGGGTCAGCACGCGTGGTACGGAGGGGCAGCACACTGTCCAGGAGACACCACTGCACAGGCGCCCGTGGGGACAGGTGGGGTGGGAAGGGGGCAGCAGGTCCCAGGGCTCTGGTCCCGGAGAGGACGGGGCAGAGGGAATCTCGGAGGGAGCTGGGCCGTTACACAAGTCATGGCCCCAGGGGCCCGGCCTCTGGAGAGCAGACCCAGAAGCCCGACCAGGCCTGGGCTCAGCCGGGCCTTGAGAGCCCCGGGCCGCGGCCAGCGGCAGCAGGGCGGCCGTGGCTGGGCCTGAAAGTGAAGATCTCCCTGGAGACCAGCCCCCCGCCCCTCCAGAAACGGGTGTGGATGTGCAGGTGTCTTTCTGGGGATGAGGGCAAGGAGGCCGGTCCCACTGTGGGGCAGACCGGGCCTGGGGAGAAAGAGTCACCTACTTGGTATGCTTTGGGGCGGCCCGCAGGGCACTGAGCAATTCCTCTGCTCCAATATCTCCCCGTCTGAGGCCTCCCTTGGGGCTAAAATGAGCCACTGGAGGATCACCCTTCTGGGCCCCAAACAGTGCACTGATCTCAAAGAGGGCCCCGCAAAAACACGTGAATCCCTGGCCAGAATGACGCATGGGCTACCAGCTCTTGCTCCAGAGGAAGGAGGAAATTCTTGGGAAATCCCATTAGCTGAGATTTATCTGCAACATTGTGTCACCTTGAAGGAAGCCAAGTCCCCAGCAAAGAAATGGGAAGGTCATCAGACACAAGGCACGAGGGCAACAATGTGTGTTTCCCCATGTCACATTCTGATTCAAGTCACCCCCCGACAGAGTGGGGGGTAGGTGTGTTCCGTTCACGAGATTTCATGGCTACACTAACAGGAACATCAAAGCTTGGGGCCATTACCAACGGCCTCCCTCCGACGGGACATGCCCCAGAGGCACTGAAACCCAGCCAGGCTCTCGAAGGGTCCAGGTGCTCACTTTGCAACGCGGGAGGACATTCCGGCGGAAGTGCCGCCCCGGGGCGGATGGATGCGGAACCGAAACAGACGCACGGAGCCCATTTCCTTCCTGGCAGAGCTCAGCAAAGAGGAGGACCTGTGGCCGGTGGGAGCTGGAATTGCCCGGTCATCAGAGCTATCTGAGGGGAGAATGGCAACTGAGCCTCACCCCAGACAGCGCCTCCTCGCAGGACAGGGCCCAGGCCTCTCCGGATGCTCTCAGAAATGCAAAGAGGGGGCCTCCTGCATCCCCGCCCCCCACCCCCAAGGCCTGGTCCGGCGCTGCCCAGTGGGGACAGCCCAGATCCGAGCTCACCAATACACTGCGTGCGGTCCCTGAGCCCTTAAAGGTGGCGAGTGCAACTGAGGGACTGGACGTCCCATCTTACTTCATTCCCGTTCGTCTAAACAGCCACATGCGGGGCCAGCGGCTGCCGCGTGGGTCCGTGCCACCTTTTAACAGGACGCTTTCGAATCCAGCCTCCTCACGGCACGGAGACCCCCTGCCATCCAAGTTCACTGCTTCCGCCGGTGCCAGGGGGTCACACTGCAGTCCCTTCACCCCGAACATTGATTGTAGGCTCATCACTCGGACAGGTTGTCGGGGTGATTGGACCACAGAGAGAGAGGTCCCATTCCCGACTTTAATACAACAATCCAGGGCGACACGAGGGAGAAGGTACCGTGGGAGCAGAGGGCACGGCCCCGGCCCCGCCCGCCACCGCGTGACCTGGGGCGTCTTCCCTCCGAGCCTCACCTGTCCCCGAGGGAAGGGACTGGGGTCACACACTCTCCAAGGCGCCCCTGGCTGGCCGCCCAAGCACCTGCAGAGAAAGGCAAGGTGCACTCAGACGAAGCGAGAGGAGGCCAGTGGGCAGCAGACGGGGTCCTGGACGAGCCTTGACGGGTCCGTGCCGAGGGCACTGTCCCCGGAGACAAGACGACAGTCACACAGCCAGGAGTGCGACTGAGAAGCAGGTTGCTGTCACTCCTGCGCCCCCCACCGTGTCCTAAGTGTCCCCCATCTTCGACCACAACAACGTCTCTTCCACCACCACCACCTCCCTCCCGGACCCCCGGGGACCAGCGCCCTGCCCTCTCCTCCCAGGCCTGGCCTGCTCGACCAGCGGCACTCGAACCCTGTGCGCACGGGAAAGCCAGGCCCCGAGGTTCTGCTTCAGAGGGCGGTAGGGGCAGGTGCGCCTTGGGCTGCATCCCGGGACCCCCGAGCCGATGGCCCGCATCCTGGCCCCACGGCGGCCGCTCCGGCGTGGCCGGCACAGAGACATTAGTGGGTGATGCTGTTCCCAAACGTCTCCCTTGTGCGGCATTCGCAGCGTAACCGGGAACAATCAGAAATAGTGAGAACTCACAAAGGGACAGGTGCCAGGGGTGGGCGTGGGGTGGTTTCAGGACAGAGGGACCCTCTGTGTCAGCTGTTCGGTGACAGCCCCCGGCGGGGGGGGTCTGGGCAGGACTGCTACAAGGTGGGGGTGGGGCAGAGCAGATGGCTGCCTCCGGCGCTGCTCCGGGTGGAGGCCACTGGAGGGCGCCGCGAGCAGAGCGCCTCTTGGCCCCATTCCCCCGCGATCCCTCCCACACCGAAGGCTGCCGTGACTGGGTCAGCGCCCCGCATCCCCCCGCCCAGCACAGCCACCCGCAACTCGCCGGAACACAGATTTCCAGAACAAACTCAATCCTCACACTTCTCCGCTGCGGCTGCCGTGCCAGTCCCCTGCGGCAGAGGCCAGAGGGAAGGGCGGGGGGGTGGGGGTAGGGGGACACTCCCCAGACTGTGCAGGCTCTGCTCCCCTGTGTCGCCCCCCCGACCGCAAAGCCCCGGCCTGCTGCTCCCCGCATCCGACAGCAGGAGGAGCAGCCCCAGGGGGGCAGTGAGGGGCTGAGGGGGGACAGCTGTGCCAGGGGTCCCTAAACCACCCAGAAAACCTGAGAGTCGGGGAGGGGGGCACAGTGCGCCCGTGCAGTTCAGGAGGGGGCCGCAGCCCGGCCCAGCCGGGACCCCTGGGAGCAGCTGAGCTAAGGTTCCTTCGAGCTCGGAAATGCCGGCCCGTCGCCCCTCCAGGCGCCCGTTCCCGGCACTCAGGTCCCCACCCCCGTGAGCAGCGTGCTCCTCGTGGAAATAGACAAGGGGGCGGGTTATGCGTCCTCAGGAGTGGTTTGCAGGGAGGGTTTAAACATTCATGGCGCCTGTAATTATACCTGGGCTCTCTAACTGGGGCGCCGGCCCGGGGCCCACGGAAGGGGGCGGGGCAAGGGAGTGCGTCGTGGGCCGGGGCCCCTGCCTGGGAGGTGAGCGCGGCCCTGGGTTCCGCAGCGTGCAGCACACGCAACGGTGCCCGGGAGGGTTTGTCGGAGGCAAGGAGGTCACCCGAGCCAGAGAGGGAATGATTTATAAACAACGTGCTCACTCCGTAGCAGGGAAATAATTAAAACTGCGCAGTGGGCGGGGTGGCGGGGGGGGCAGGGATCGAGAGAAGCAGAGGTTAGTTTTGCAAAGCACCTCACACATCAAGCACTCCGGCTCAGTAGCTGGGTCTATGACACCCAAGTGGAGACACCAGAGCAGGAGAAGGACAGGTAATCAACAAGCTAGGGAAAGGAAACAATGAAACAGAAGGCAAGGGAGCGGAGGGAAGGTGCATCAGTCAGTGGGGCGAACAGAAGCCAGCAGTTAATCCGAATGTATCAGTCTGACATGGAACGTCAGTGGCTGACTCAGACACGAGGTTTGCCCGCCTGGGTAAGAAACACAACCCAGCCACGCGCTGCTGCTTACAGAGCGCGCGCCTTAAGTACAGACACAGAGAGAGTAAGCAAAGATGGGACAAGATACACCGTGGGAGCCCCAGCCCCGGACACCCGACCCGATACAGCCCTTCCCCGCCACCGGACGCGGAGGCCTGGAAGGCGGCGGCGTTACCTGAGAGGGCCGGGAAGGGTCAGGCTCCCGGGAAGAGGGGCGGCTCTGGCCCCCTCCGCACCTCGCCGCGGGGCTGCGCTGTGCAAGGCAGAGCATGGCGGGGCCGTGGCGGGGCCGTGGCGGGGCCGTGGCAGGGCCGTGCGGAGCAGCGGAGCGGCGCACGCCCCAAACTAGTGACGGGAACCTCCCTCCCTGGATAACGAACAGACCGCTAGTGCGTGGGGGACAGGATGGCCCGGGAAGGTCGACGGCAAGTCAGCAGAGACCCAGAGTCAGGACAGGTGCGGAACAGCCCCGTAGGACCACAGCCAGGTCAGCACCCGCGGGGCCGGGGACTCCGAGAAGGCCCACCCGCGGCGTCTCAGGACGCGGGCCGGAGCTGCCACAACGGACTTCGTGAGGTCCGGCCATAAAGCCCGTGCTCAGCAAATCCCAAAGCACTGAAACCGCAGAGGGTACGTCTCTGCATGCAGCAGACTTCCACCAGAATTCGGTAACAACAATAGTGCTATCCGATCCCCAAATATTTAAAAAATCAACGAATTCCTCCCATGAACGATGGTTCCTATTAACAGGGGCAAAAACCAGACACAGATCCCACGAGCTCAAAGCCACCTCGTAGGCTGGAAAACGGCCCCCTCTCCCGGGGTGAGTGACCACCCGGGGCGGCCAGCTAGCGCGTGGCGGGGGCAGTGAGGATGCTGCGAGGAAATGCCGCAGAGGAGTCCAGCGGTGGGGACAGTCCCGTGTCCCCTGGGCCACGGGGATGAGGCTGGAGGAGGTGTCCTGGGAAGACGCACTTGCACTGGACCTGGGGGGCCAGAAAGGAGCGACCGTGAAGACGGGGGGCGGGGCGGTGAGGGCACTGGGAGCGGCGGGAGCAGCGGGAGCAGCTGCGGGCAGTCGAGGGACAGCACGGGCTGTGTGACTGGGGCGGGACGGGGAAGCCAGGCGGGGGAAGGGGAAGGGGCAGGTGCTCTGGGCTCAGGGGCCCAGAGGAGAGTGGGGGCTGGGGGGGTCTGGGCTCAGGGGCCCAGAGGAGAGTGGGGGCTGGGGGGGGCAGCTCTGGGCTCAGGGGCCCAGAGGAGAGTGGGGGGTTGGGGGACTCTGGGCTCAGGGGCCCAGAGGAGAGTGGGGACTGGGGGGGGGGGGGCTCTGGGCTCAGGGGCCCAGAGGAGAGTGGGGGCTGGGGGGGGGCTCTGGGCCAGAGAGCCATGGGCAGAGCTGCGCCTGAGCAAGGGGCCCCGGGCGTGTTCGAAGTGGACCGGAGCTGGGAGACTAGGAACCAGTGGGCGCCGTGCGGTGACAGGGAGCGGGAGGGGGACAGAGGAAGTGGGGAGAGCAGCCCGGCCCCGCCCCCACAGCCACCCACACCCCTCGCTGAGGAGCTGCCTAGTCGCTCCTCTGAAGGCGGCGCTCTAGACGGGGGAAGGGGGTTGATGTCTAGTCTCATCCCTGCCGCCCAGGCCCCAGTGTGAAAGCCACACACGCCTTCTGAGAAGCAGGATGGGACACCCCCAACCCAGACACCCCCAGCCCCTCCAAAGCCCATGGTTTCCTTTCCCGGCACGTCCTGGCTGTATCGATCCCCAGGCGGCGGCGGGGGCAGGCGACCCCAGCCCCTCCTGCTGGGATCCCTGAGCAGCTGCTGGAGCCCCCCACCCCCGTGCCGGGCCTCGGCACCCACCCCACCCTTGGGGGGAGGTGGGGGGACCTCCTGGCTGAAAGCCCCAGAGCTCCGGAGCCAGGCGGATGGAGACACTCTAACGGGTCACTGTGCCCCTGCCCCCCCACCCCTCTCCTGACAGATCCCCCGGCCCCCCGGAGGCCGCTGCCCACCCTCAGTCCCAGACGGGCGCCTTCCCCCGCACCCGTCCCTCCATCACAGCCCCCTGCACGGGGGTCGGAGACGCTGCGCCTCAGACGAGGCCCCGGGGGTGCCCCCGGGCCGCACCTGGAGCAGCGGGGGGGGGGGGTCCAGGCTGCCCCTCCAGGCGCCCTTTGGCCCCGGGACCCCGGGGGTCCGCCGCTTCAGCGCCCCACCTGCTGTGCTCTCCCTGCAGACGGCCAGAACGCCACGTGCGTGGAGCCCGCGGAGCTGGCCGGGTGGCCCGTCACGCAGGTGGGGAACCCGCTGCGGTACATGTGCATCACGCACCTGGACGGCCGCGACTACCTCTTCCTGCTGCTCGTCGGCTTCTGCATCTTCTCGGCGGGCACCGTGGCCGCCTGGCTCACGGGCATGTGCGCCGTGGTCTACCAGAGCGCCCGGCGCAGGTCCAGCGAGGTGGAGGAGGAGGACGAGCACGGGCAGCGGGTGGCGGTCAGCCGGCGCATCTTCCAGAGCAGGGTGGACGTGGGCCAGGACGGCTTCCCGCAGCTGATTTAGCCACCGTCCCCTCCCCCCGCCCCCGCCCCCCCCCAACTCCCGCAGAGCGGGCCTGGGGATTGGAAACTCTCCGTGAAATAAAAGATTTTGTTGCCGGTTCACAGGTGGGTCCTTTCCCGCTCGACCTGCCCACGGGCGTGGCTGAGGGCTCCGCGGGACTGCAGATGCAGCCCGGAAAGGCTGGGGCAGCGTCCCCCCCCCCCAGCAGGAGACTCCACCCTCCGCCAGGCGCTGGAGGGGACCGAGAGATACGGGCACAAGGTGCACCCCTTGAAGGTACATGGTTCGGGGGAACCGTGGGTAGACCAGATCAACTGGGGAAGAACTCCAGACCCGGAGACGAGAGCTGACGTGAATGTAGGTCGCCCGAGGGCGTCTGCACGCTCCCTCCCAACAAAGGCAGGGACCCTGTGACGGACGGCCACAGAGTTCACGGGGACAGAGTGCGGCCTGGGCACATTACAGACGGGGCTGCCCAGATGGTCGCAGCAGCAGAGCCCCCAGAGTGCGTGTGCTCCCCTTCGCAGGGAGCTGCCCCCACCCCGGAGATGTCTGTCGACGTGACCGACGGCTCGTGGCTCGGGCCCTGGATAGAGCTCGGGAGCGAGGCCTCGGAGGGGCCCCCACCGGCCGGCTCCTGCCACGTGCCCGGCCCTGACGCAGCTCCACGCACAGGTGCTCGCCGGTCAGCCCTGAACAGCCAGAGCAGCTGGCCGTGGCCAGCCTCGTCTCCCGAGGCTCAGAGAGGCCCCGCCACCAGCGCGCGGTCACACGGCGGCCAGGAGGCAGAACGGCGGCTGGTCCCCAGGCCACCGCTGCTCACGCCCACATGGCGAGCGCACCACGCACGCACCAAGTGGTCCGGCCCCTGGGCTGGCCCTCCTCACGGCCGCGGTCCGGACCCCAGGGAAAGTCGAGAGGAGACAGCGTGTTGCAGAGAGAAGTGAGGCCAGGCCCGCAGGGCCCCAGGTGCGCCCGCTCCTCGGGGCGAGGACGGCCAAGCTGTGGGAACAAACTCGAAGTTTCGTGAGCTCAGCGCACTGGAGACTCAGCCCCCACGGGGGCCGGGGGAAGGGTCTCCTCCCCCTGTTTCTCGGCCTGCAGAGGCCTCAGGCGGCGTCTGCCTGGGCAAAGCTGCCGAGGAGCAGAACACGCATGTTCTTTAGCAATACCAAAACCAAACCCAAAACATCCGAAGCGTTTCAAGGGTCCGCCCCCGGGAGGGGCCACGGGGAGCGGGAGGGAAGGCTGCCGATTCCCCCCCGACTGAGGGCATCGAGGAGCCAGCCCTGTCCGTATGCTCTGTGTGCATTCGGTAAAAACGAGTGAGTGTGTGTGACTTGTTAAAGCAAAGACTGGCTGGTCCAGGCATTGCCACCCTCCAGAGGGGTCCTGAGCCCCCACCCCAGCACAAAGGGGCGGCCACCCCAATATGGCGTGGGGCGCCCTGCCTGTGCCCCCCTCAGCGGCTCTGCTCCTCCCCCACGGCCACGTGCAGGGCAGCGGGCCCGGCCCCCGCAGAGGTAGCGCGAGGCTGGTGTTCCTCCCTCCGCTGCACGTGGCGGGCCGTGTCCGTGGCAGGGACGCCGCGGCCCTCTGACCGGCCGCCCCGAGGGAGCGACCTGACTCAGTAGCCCGGAAACCACGCAGGCCCGGAGGAGGCCTCTCGGGGGCCGCCGGGATCCAGACGGCAGCGGCCTCCGCCGGTCCAGTCCGAATCCTGACCCCTGACCCCCACCCAGCAAACGACGAGGAAGGAGAACTCCCCCACATGGGTGGGCGTCACCGACAGGGTGGGACTGTCCCTCCGAGCTGCGTGGCCCTGGGACACGCGACCACCTCTGTCGTTCTCATTGTCCCCTCAGGGGCACGGGGCTCGGACCCAGGCTGCGGTTCTAACTTAGAGACCCTTGACAGAAAGGACCTAGTCGTGTCCCTGGCACAGAGCGCGCCCTCGGGAAAGGGCGACCCCCGGGGGCAGGACGAGCCCCCTGAACCGCCTCAAGTGCCCACCTTCCTCTTCACCGGGGCTCGGAGACCCGTGACCCGCGGCACCTCCGGCCCGGGGACTGTGAGAGGTTTGTCGCTCTGGGCCTGAGCCTCTTCATCAGCAAAGCCAAGTTTGTGGGCGAGAGCTGGGCTCTCCCTCCACCTCCACACGGGGTTTGTGGGCGCGGGTTCGGCCCCAAAGAGGCCTGTGCCCCGAGGATTCTGCTCTCCCTGGACCTTGCAGGGGTTTCCCCGGTTTTGTCGAAGGTCAAAAATAAAAAGGAAGACACTGTGGGTTGCGTGAGACAGGGCTCGGCCCTGAGACGGCCACGTCAGCCAATAAACACGACCCTCACCAACACGCCTCCCGCACACGCCCCCCGCACACGCCCCCCGCACACGCCTCCTGCACATGCCTCCTGCACACGCCTCCTGCACACGCCTCCTGCACACGCCTCCTGCACATGCCAGCACAGGGCGGGCAAAAGCAGGTCTCAACTTGTGAGCACACGACGCACTCTACTCCAGCATTATTATTATTATTTGCTGGTCTGGATGCTGCTTCCCATACGAGCACCGGTCAGCCGACGCTCGTCCACCCCATGTCCGTGTGGGAGAGAAAGCAGCTCTCGGCCCCGAGAGGCCAGCGCGGCATCTGCAAGGAACAGACGTCACGACGGAGGTCAGGGCGAGACCGTCGTAAACCGGGCGGCGCGCACACAGAGATCGTTGCCGAGAGGATTAAAGATTCACGTAAGTGGAAGGACACCCCGTCTTCGTGGATGCGGAGGCTCGGTGTCGCCAAGGGGGGAACCGTCCTCTGATTGGCTGACAAGTTCAACGTCACGCACACAGAATCCCGGGGGGACAAGTCAGTCTTAAAGTGTCCGCTAACGTAACTTCTAACCAACCCTGCTCTGGTTCGGATACTACACACGCACCGTCAGCCGCTACAGGAGGTTTAACACGACACTCGGAGATACAAAGTGGTCTGTTTTCTACGTCGGCCCCTCGTCACAGTCTGGGCTGGAACCTTACGGTGGGCCGCCTGATCCCGCCAGCTGGCTCCGGCTCACTCCGTCCGTAAGGCGGGCCTCTCCGAAGAGACCCCACCCCCGGCCCCTGTTCTGAATCTGAATTCCCAACCCTCAGCCCAGGCACCTCGTAAAAGTTCAAGCCTCAGCTAGCCATCCCACAAAAGACATTTCTGACGGGACCCCCTATTTAAAGGGGGCGCCCACTAATGTTTGATCACAGAGATCGAGCCCTGCCCCGTCTCCAAGTTCCTAATGGACGGCAGGCACAGGCAGACCCAGGTGACAGGGGAGGGCGGGGAGTCGCGGGGCCGGGTCGGCAGGGGAAAGACCGTGGGAGCCAGGACGGAAGGGGCAGAGGCCCGAGGAGGAGGTGCCGGGCACTTGCGCACACACACCCCAGACCGACTCCTTCTAAAACACGAAGTCGTGAGCCCGCGGGTCCCCTGGTTTCCGGGGGAAACACATGAGCAGGTGTCCGTGTGAGCGAGTCAGGTTGGGTGACGGGGGACCTGGAAGGGGAGGACGAAAGCCCAAGGGGTAAGCGAGTGGCCGAGGGCAGCACCCAGAGCGAGGGTCTGCCGTACCTTTGACCTCCCCGCGGGGGATGCGGTGCCCGGGGCCGGTGGAGGAGAACCGCCCGCTCAGGAAAGGGGGTGGCGGCGGAGGAGCCTCTTTTAATGAAGACGTAGCTTTGACCTTGGCTCGGGATGCCTGCCAGCTAGCCCATGGCTGGGCAGGGGAGGGGAATGGGCAAGAGAGGAGGGGGGGACCGCCAGGAAGAGGCTTTTGAGGAGACCATCGAGTTACTCTCTTGGCCAGAGTCCACACCGGCAGGTCACCTGTAGCAGACTCAGTCTCCTGGGCCTTCCCCCAGGAAGACATTCTGCAGGGCCCGCGGGCTCACGAGGGTGGTGGTGGGGAGGATGGGGAGGGAGGGTTCCCCCGGCAAGGGTGAGGGCAGCCCCGCGGGAGGGGTGAGAAGCCACTGGCTCCGCGGGATCGGACGCTCCGGTTAGGAGACTGAGGCCCGACAGGAAACCCCAATAAACGTGACACCTCGGGACATTTTCCGTCGCCCTCCTTGGAGTGGCACTGCATCCTGCCCCCAAGCAGGTCCTGCCCAGGTGGCCGGGGAGCCCCGAGGGGCCCCGCGCGGGGCCAAAGGCTGCGTCTGGGAAACTCCACTCCCCTGACGGCGATTCAGCCGCAGCACAGACGGACGCCACCCACCCAACCGGGCCCCGCGTCCCCGCTGTGCCTCCTCGCCGTCCCTCCTGGCCCCTCTGTGAGTCACGGAAAAACTGGAAACGCTATCCAGCCACCCAACGTGGAGATGTTTCCCAGGGGGCCGGGGTGCTGTTCCAAGACAAGCAGCTTCTCCTGTGACCTGAACGTCTGCCCCCCCCCCGCCCGCCGGCACGGTCTCAGCGGGGCCCCTGCGGCGGGGGAGGGAGGCCGCGTTAACCATCCCAAGGAAAACCAGACCGGGTGGGGAGACTCCTTAGAGATCTGTTGATTTCCCCCAGAGGGGACAGTTTTGTTCTTGGGAGCACATCTGAAGACTCGAGTATATGCCTGGGCCTTCGATCGCAGGCGGCGCTGACTGTACTCGAAGTTAGCTGTTCTCGAACGTAACATTGGGGTCTTCGCCATCTGCACGAGAGGCCAGACACTGAAGATTCCCATGGGCATCCACGCATGCACTCAACACACAGACGTGCAACAAGACACAGCGCCTACCCGGAAAACGCCGGCATGAGCAGCAGGATGAGGCGTAGAAAAACGGCGAAGAGATGGACCTCATTGGAGACACATACACGCGCATCAGTAGAAAGCACCCACGGCCCTGAGAGGGGGCAGACCAGGTGCCGTGCCCCCATGAGCTCAGGGAAGGCCGGGACTGCTCCCGGAAGGGGTCCAGAACCGCTTCTCGGGGAAAGCGGTGTGTCGGAGGGCTTCGGAAGGAGGGGCGCA